TCATTCCGACCTGTAAAGCAAAAAAGAAGACCTGTAAATAAAGAGAGGAGTGATGTAATTGTTGAGGAAGTAAACAAACTCTTAAAAGCTGAATATATACGAGAAATTTTGTATCCTGAGTGGCTCTCTAACGTTGTATTAGTTAAAAAATTCAACGAGAAGTGGAGGATGTGCGTGGACTTTACAAATTTAAATAAGGCGTTCCCAAAAGATTGCTTCCCCCTTCCAAGGATCGACCAGCTCGTGGACGCAACAGCCGGGCACGAGCTACTCACCTTCATGGATGCCTACTACGGATACAACCAAATTAAAATGCATATACCAGACCAAGATCACACCGCGTTTATAACAGACCAAGGTCTGTACTGCTACAAGGTGACGCCTTTTGGCCTAAAGAATGCAGGTGCGACCTCCCAAAGGATGGTGAACAAAATGTTTGCCAAGCAGATCGGCCGGAATATGGAAGTGTATGTGGACGACATGCTTGTCAAGAGCAAGCAGTCAAAGTCGCATCTTTTCGATCTAACCGAAGCCTTCGAAGTGCTACGCAAGTACCAAATGAAGCTCAATCCGACCAAGTGCGCCTTCGGAGTCTCCTCGGGAAAATTCCTTGGTTTTATGGTAAATAACCGTGGGATTGAGGCTAACCTAGAGAAGATAAAGGCCGTGCTCGAGATGGAGGCACCCAAGACTCTAAAGCAGCTTCAGTGCCTCAATGGCAGGATTGYAGCCTTGAATAGGTTCGTGTCAAGATCGACGGACAAGTGTCTTCCATTCTTCAAAGTTCTTAGGAAGAAGGGACCGTTCGAATGGACAAAAAAGTGTGAGCAAACGCTGAGGCAGTTAAAAGACTATCTCTACTCGGCACCTCTGCTCGCGAAGCCGTTACCAGGGGAAAAACTCCATTTGTACCTGGTGGTATCCGCTAGCGCCGTCAGATCGATACTGATCAAGCAGGAGGGCGCAAGCCAGAGCCCCGTTTATTACACCAGTAAGGCCATGACTGAGGCCGAGACCAGATATCCCCAAATGGAGAAGCTGGCCCTCGCTTTAGTCACCTCGGCCCGAAGACTTAGGCCATACTTCCAAGCGCACACGGTCGTAGTACTTACAAACTTGCCCCTGAAGAATATCTTTCTTAAGCCTGAAACATCAGGGCGTCTGATGAAGTGGGCATTGGAATTGAGCGAATACGACATCCAGTTCGAGCCCAGAACTGCGATAAAAGGACAAGCAGTGGCCGATTTTATGGTGGAGCTCACTCCACCACCTCAGTTGGTCAAATCCGACCTCCCGTGGACGATCTTTGTTGATGGGTCTTCTAACGAGAGGGGGTGCGGGGCAGGAATCCTCTTGCTCGCACCAGGAGGTGAGCGATTCGAATATGCTCTGCGGTTCAACTTTCGGACCTCAAATAATAAGGCCGGGTACGAAGCACTCCTAGCAGGCCTGCGCGTTGCCAAAGGATTGGGGGCCAGTCACATAAAGGTCTTTAGTGACTCCCAGCTAATTGTAAATCAGATCAAGGAGGAGTACCAAGCGAAGGACCCCCGGATGGAAAAATATCTAAGCAAGGTCAGATCGCACCTTGCCCAGTTCGGGACTTACGAGGTGAGTCAAGTTCCAAGATCTGAGAACTCTAATGCAGATGTCTTAGCTAAATTGGCATCAGCATACGAGACCGACCTGGCTAGGTCGGTCCCGGTCGGAATCCTAGACACTCCTTCAATCTTGGAGCCAGATGTGATGAAGGTTGATACTTCATCACCCACTTGGATGGACCCAATCGTGGAGTTCATCAAAGGAAACCCACCGCAAGAGTCGAATGAGCAAAAGAAGATGACGCGAAGAGCAGCTCGGTTCACGCACCGAGAAGGAATGTTGTACCGACGTGGCTTCTCCCTGCCTCTCCTCAAGTGTGTGACTCCCGAAGAAGGCCACTACATTCTTAGGGAAATTCATGAAGGGGTGTATGGAAACCACTCTAGCGCCAGGTCGTTGTCGGCTAAGGTAATTCGTAAAGGGTACTATTGGCCCAGTGTGGAGAAGGATGCAAGGTAGTTTGTGAAAGCTTGCGACAACTGCCAGCGTTTCGCAAATATTATCCACCAACCTCCCGAACTGCTCACCCCCATCTCGGCCGCATGGCCATTTGCCTAGTGGGGGGTGGACATCATAGGTCCTTTTCCTTTGGGCAAAGGACAAACAAAGTTCGCCGTTGTCGCTGTGGACTACTTCACTAAGTGGGTTGAAGCCGAGGCACTATCCCACATCACAGAGTCCAGAGTCACGTCGTTCATATGGACAAACATTGTGTGCCGCTTCGGCATACCAAATGCTATCGTGACAGACAACGGAAAACAATTTGACAATGCAAAGTTCAAGGACTTTTGTAGAAAACTTGGTATAAGCCACCTTAGTTCGTCCCCTGCGCATCCAAAAGCGAATGGACAAGTTGAAGCAGTAAACAAGATCATAAAGCGAGGACTCAAGCTAAGGTTGGACTCCATAAAGGGAAGATGGGCCGAGGAGCTACCTGAGGTTCTGTGGTCATATCGAACCACCCCACGGGAGTCAACTGGTGAAACTCCGTTCTCACTAGCCTTTGGTTCCGAAGCTGTTGTACCAGTCGAGATCGGCATACCAACAGACAGGGTAGAATAGTATGAGCCAACAAAGAACGAGGAAGAGCTACTCCTTAACCTGGACTTATTGGAAGGGAAAAGGGAAATGGCTCAGCTGCGCTTAGCAGAGTATCATAACAGAATGGCCAGACATTACAATGCCCGAGTTCGACCTCGAAACTTCCAAGTTGGACATTTGGTCTTGAGAAAAATTCAGAGTCATGTTGGCACCCTTGACCCAAGTTGGGAGGGACCGTTCGAAGTCAAAGGCATAGTCTGACTTGAAACTTATATGCTGGCCGACCTGGAAGGAAGAGTGCTTGCGCATCCATGGAACGCGGAGCACTTGAAGCGCTATTACCTCTGAAATGTCAAAATCGTCCCAAAATGGGCTTGTCAAAATTTTCAAGGGCGAAATTTTCAATAAATGGAGTTATTTAATTTCATAACTCCGAGTTTGACTAGAAATTAAATGGGGGCCACAGACTCCCATACGACTTAAAATTGATCAAATTTGATCCTCAAAACCCACGAGTTCGAGGTGCGATGTCAAAATCAATTACAAACCAAAATTCAATCCTTTGAACGCTTAAGTTAAAGATGCGATGTTGAAGGTTCAAGAAATTCAATCCTCTAAACCTACGGGTTCGAGGTGCAATGTGAATATTAACAATGGACACCAAAACCAACCCTTTGAACGTATAAGTTAAAGGTGCGATGTAGAAAGGTTCCAATTGCTTCATTTTCTTTCGGACTTCCGTGTTCGAGGAGAAATATTAAAAGCTGATAAAAGAAACTCTCAAATTCAAACCGAGGTACGATGTGAAAAGAGTTATCTTGAAGCTCAGCCCAAAGTTAAGTTAGAGGTGCGATCCTTTAAGTTAGAGGTGCGAGATGAATTTATTTATTGATATGTTCCAGCTTACAAAAGTAAGTTCAAAAAGTTTAAGGAAAAAGCAATAGAAGAGTCAGAGCTAGATGCAGAACTGCAATTAAGTATATGGAAGGAATTCATTAATTGGAGGACAGAGCCAAGGCTTATAGACCTTGCAGCTCTGCCCAAAAAGAGARTATATATAAASAYAGAAGGAAAGAGAGCCTCAGCTACTTCCRAGGTGGGAGGACAGCTCGCCTTGGGAGCCTAGAAGGTTAACCTCCTGAGACCCATCCTRCTGRGAAGGAACCWCCTCTTGCGTTGTGCCGATCTCATTGGGCTCTTGGCTAGGAGCGTCMTCTTCTTCCATGTCGGAGTAGTCAGAGTCCAGCTCCCTGACATACTTGTCCACCAGCGGTTGGGGGCCAGGAGTCCCGTTAGGCCCAGAAGCCCACTTCTCAGAGTATTTCTTCTTGAGGTCGCTGAGATCGATCTGAAGGTGAGGCATGTCGGCAGCAATGCCCTTCATCAAGAACTTGAAGCTGGCATCGCTAAAGTCCTTGGCAAACCATCGAAGTCTGGGTGTTGCCGGAACGACTCCTCCAGCAGAGGTCCGCTGGTGAGGCGTTCCTTCAAGTCTTTGAGCTCGGCTGTGAGACGCCCAATAGAGGCATCCTTCTCCTCAAGAACTTGGGCGAGATCGTCCTTCTCCTTTAGGAGTTGGAATTTCTCCTTCTCGAGCCCCTTGGTGATCGCATGGGCTGCTCGGAGGTGGGGCTTGTGCTTCTCACCCTCCTTCTTCAAAAGTTCAGCCTTCGCATCCACCTCGGCCCTTAAGATACCCACCTCGCCTTGGGCCTTTAGCAGCTCGCCTTTCAGCGTGGTGGCAGCCTCTAAAGCAGCAGAAAAATTCTCCCTCTCCTTTGCTGCCGGAGCCTCCCTTCCATCCATTTCAGCCTTGACCATAATAACTGAATGAATAGAAGCGACAGACGCCTGCGAAAGTCAAGGAACACAATGGTTAGATCAAGCTGAGAATCGAGAAAAGATAGTAATAAAAAGTGATGCAAAGCAGATCTTACCTCGACAGCGTTGTCGATGGTCCTCTGTAGTACGGACCCAGGATCACTCACGAACTTGGATGCTCTCCTTAGACAGCGGTCCAAGCACGTGGCCGAGATGCAGGACACCTGGTCCTTCACCCCGGAGCTTGACGGTTTCATCTTGAACCGCGTTCGCACGTCGAATGTTCCCCTCATTCGAGCTGCGGGGTCGTCCACTAGGTCAGCATGGCTCGCTGGCAGGGTCCCACGAGCCTCAGCCTCCGAGAGGGAGGAGGTCTTCTTCTTATTTCTTCTTCTCCTCAAAGGAGACTCTCCCCTCACCTCGTTAAGGGGAGATACATCAAGCGCCTCGGACTCCTCCCTTGGACGCTTCTCTTCAGATCGACCCCCAGACAGGTCCAGTTCGATCACAGGGGTGGGAACTGCAGAGGATAGCCCAGAGTTACCCTTAGCCTCAGTCCGTGGCACCGAAGGCGTCACTGGTTCAGGGCTCACCACGGTCTTGAAGGCGTGAGCACGACCCTTGGACTTGCGCTTCACACTTCCAGTGAATCCGCACACCATTGCTACAAAATAAACAAGTATAAAATTAAGGATCAAAGGAAAAATGAAATCAAGACTTAGGTCGAGCACGACTTACCGAGTTCAGATTTCGGCCTTGAAGCTTCGATTGGCCGAACTAGAGGGTTGTAGTCAAGAAGCCCCGACTCCAAGAGAAGCTTGTCGGTGACCAAGGTTCCGATCTTCCTGCCCTTGGGGAAGTTCTC